GGAAAACAATAGCTAATTTTCCCAATTTTAAGATTATGCAAAACAATATGTATATCTATTTAAATTGTGCAATAACAATACATAAAGATATTCAAAGTAAGCACAATATAAATAAGATAAGGGAAGAAGGAATCAAACACAAATGATATGGCGATTTAGTGAGGTTCGGAACTTCTACTCCTCTGCTCAAGATCCCTCTTAGACTTTTCTAAATCCATTATGGCTTTTTCTTTTGGGTGGAGAGAAAACCTTTACAAGAAGCACACTTATTTCTCCTTCCTTCATGCTAAGAGAACCACCTTCTCTTAGACTTCCTTTGGGTCAAACTAACCCTTATAATAAATTTGTAGGAAGAATGTAATATAATGAATGTATCTCTCAAAGATAAATTACTCAAATTAATGGTTAGAAGACTAGAGTATTGATGATTTTCAAGTTCAAGCTCAAGTCTATTGAATGATATGAGTGAGAGAGTGAATAGTGTATTGAATGCTCAAATGATAGCTCTTAATATCTCATTAATGTTTCTCATAACTTGTGTCTACTCATACATAAATGCCCCAATTATAAATTTGGTTGAAAAGAGCCGTTAGAGGTAGTTGGGGTGCATTAAATACAAAACTAGCCGTTTGAATTCAAAATTCTCATGAATCAGTCGGCTAGTTTAAAGTACCATGCAGTCGTCTAGTTCTCAAATCAGTTGGCTGATACATTTTATCAATCGACTGAAAAACTACACCAATCAATTCTCCACTCTTTGGATAAACAAGCAACCTTAATTAAGTTCAACCAGTCAGCTGGTTGAGTTTAAGCATTGAAATTAGATCCTTTTAAAGTGTCTTTGGCCTTATAATTGATTTAGGTAAACCCCATTCAGGACAAATATATATATATATATAATGATTTAGGTCTTTGTATGTATATCAATGATGTTGAAGACTTTCTAGGTTGTTTAAAGATCAAATATGAAGTTGGAACGCATATGCATGATCCTATGGGCTTCAGGAAAAGATTTATTTATTTATTTATTTATACATTGAATCATAAACACTTACTAACATATCTACCCCATTATTCATGCTTTAACATTGATATTTGATCTTTAAGACTTCTTCCTTGCTCATTGAGTTGTGTCCTTAATCATTGAATTGCATATTTGATCATTGAGGTCCTGGTCATCTTTGAACGCGTCTACCTTTAACCATTTGCAACTTCAAGTCATTTCTATATCTATTGCTTGACCATTGATGTCTTCAAGTGCATTGGAATGCTTGGAATGCGTCTTACCTCATCTTTGCTTCATTGAGGGCTATCTTGAAAATGTGATTATCTAACATAATACTCAATGTAAACATTAGTGTCTAAACACCATTAATGATTTGTAATCATCAAAATTACTAAACTGACCTTAAGTCAAAGCCTTTGGGTCAACATATGCGATAACATTTGTTGAAGGAAAAAAAATTTACTCCAAAATGATGTCGTATCCGGGTAAAACACGACACAAATACTATTGAGGATCCAACAAATATAATTGATTAATTCATGTGTTATTTTACTACTTAATTCTTTTTTCGAAAGATGATATTCACACTCCTCTTTTGTACATTTGCACTCTCATCTTAAAAGAAATGACACAACCTTAAACTTCACGAGTGAATGATTATTTTATTTCAAATTACACAACTATCCTTTTAGATTTCGCGCTCTGTTTCCAATCTTTAATGTTTTACGTCTCTTTTGACAAGACCAAAAAAAAAAAAAAAAAAACTAACCCGAATTTTTTTTTTATTTTGTTGGAATAAATTAAAAAAAAGTTAATTGATATTATAAAATACTATAAGTGATGATGCATTAATGAGTTTAGAAATGTTCTTTTCATTTTTATTTAAAAATAAAAAATAAAATAAGTGAAGTGCAATGATAAAAAAAGGGAGTGCCAATATTACCTCCCTTTTTTTTTTTAGTCATTGTTATCTATTGGGAATAATAATAATAATATTATTATTATTATTATTATATTATTATTATTATTATTATTATTAATATTAATATTATTATTATTATTATTACTGTATTTTTATTCTATATTTATGGTACAAAGATATTACAATTTTGACTCTATAAAAAGGGTTACCATACTTGCATGAAATAGACTTATGTAATATAGGGGGGGTGTGACAGTGAGCTATTTTGAGAATTCATTCTTCTTTGATTCTTGAGTATTTTGATATTAAGTTTGGGACAACTTCGACACAAATCTAGTACACACTTGTTTTCTGTGGGCGTGCCCATAGAAGACTACTCGCGAAATGGGTTGTATCTTGGAATTGTAATGGTCCGTTGCACCTGCACATAGAGAGGTCATACAATTTTAGGATAGTGTTTGCATGTCTCTCATTATCTAGATCAGTTCTTTCCTACTTATTTTACTATGATCATTTTATCTTTTTCTAATTGTATTATTGAATTTATTTTGTGTTGTTTAAATTCTATGAATTATTGTTATACTCGTATTTTGTTTAAATTGATGTAAAATGAATGTATTGTGTTTTCATATCGTTGCAATATTCATTGGTGTATTATTCATTATTTTAAATTATTGTGTATGAATAAAATTTGATATTTTATTCTTAGTATTCATATAAATACTTCTAATTCCCCAACATTATCTTATTTCAATTAGATACTTTGCAAGGGAATAAAAAAAGAAAATACCAATTCTGTCCATGGGACTAACTTTTCTAGAGATTTATAAACAAATGTTTCCATCAAGTTCATCAATATACTTTTCTAGGAAAAAGGAAGTTTCTTTTATAGTCCACATAAAATTAGGGGCGGGTTGGGTGGGCAAGGGGCGCTAAGCTCAAATTTTAAAAAATTCATTGGAGTCGCGCTAAACTCAAGCCCTGAAAAATTCATTGCATCTCCGCACGTGGCATGAGTTTTTCAAATTTCTATGGTCTTTTCAAAATTTAATAACCTATAAATAAATAAAATTGTAAGAAAATAAAATATTAAAGTATATAACTAAATAGATTTAGACATAAAAAAAACCTCTCATATCATGTGAAAAAAAAAAAAACAAATTATATCATGTGGAAAAAAAAAAAACAAATTATGTTTAATATAATCTTATAGCAATAAGTTATAATTTCTAATAATTTAAGACATGTAACATGGTCCAAAAAGCTTCCATAATATAAACTTAGAAAGAACTTAATATTTGATATTTTTTAATATTTTGTTTCCTTAACTAAAATTCAATTGTTATAAGTTTTTACTTTTAAAAAATAAACGTGTCAAAATAACAAAGATTGGTGACTACCATGAATCCACCATGATGGATGATACTCTATAAATAATATAATTTTAACTTTATTTTATTTATAGCCTTATATAAATGTTATAAACTATTCTTATATTTTCGATTGTTTGGGATCCTCGGATTCCTTGGGTAATAAAAACTTTTGCCCAATTCCGCTCATAATAAATTTGGACTCTAAAATTTAAATCCAGTCACATCCTATAGTCTCAATAACCTTACCCATTCCTGTAAAATTATCAAGCTGGACTCAAGTTGTGGGGTTTAGGCCCACCCAAATTCCACTCCTACAGTTATGTGATATGTCTTTGCCTTCCATTCTCAAGGAAGCTGCATAGTTTTAGATGTGAAGTTCAATTATTATTAACCTCCATTTGTTTCGATGTAAAATAATTTTTTTGAAAAATATATTTTTTTTCAGGTAGAATATTTTTAAAATTTTTACTTTTGTTTGTGTTTGGCAAAGAAAAATTAATGAATAAGTTATTTTTATTAAATTTTAATATTTTTTTCTTCATAAATATTTTACTGACAATCAAACACTAAAAGAATAAAAAAATATCTTAAATCCAAACAAACAAATCTACATGAAAATAGGAAGGGGAAATGAAAACTCTCACACCCCTGTTTGAATAGAGTGCATCTCAGCAAAAAAGTCGATACGAGGAATCCGTGCTTCCTTTAAAACAAATGGCTACTTTAACTTTATCTATTCAAAGTTCCAATTTCACAATCAACATATTTTTTTCAAAGTCCGTGGTATAATTTGATCATAAGAATGATCCGATGTTTTTTTTTTTTTTTTTCGTCGTCCTTCCTTATTGATACGACATGCTATTCTAGAAAACAACAAGCTTAAAAACTGTATTAAGATTTCAGCACATGATGCACATTAAATTTTCCATTTAAAACATCAAACTCTTTTTAGAAATATATCTTGAGAGGACACAAATTTAGCCTCTAATTATTAAAATTAAATTGCATTAAATTTCATTCCCCAAATCTATATCACTTTAAAACTAAACTACACTCACAAGTCTAATAACACTTTTAGATCCTCATTAATGAGGACTTAAATATTGTCATAAGAATAATTCTTCCATTTGAATAATGAAATACTTAAAATGTACTTAAACAAAAAAAAAAAAAAAAAAAGATAAAAATAAAAAAAAAATGAAAAATAAATAAAATAGGTCATTTTTAAAAAATTATAAAAACCCCAAAAAATTATTTTTAATTTTTTTAATAATTAATTTTTTGTTATTATTATTTATTTTTTTTATGTTTTTTATTTATTAAAAAAAAAAGAAATGCCTAAAATTCCCTTAGGAGTAGTTTGGAATTTTTATTAAAAATTTTGTTCAAAATTGTTGAGCAAGGAGCAATTTATTATAAAATTGTAAAATATGGAGATTTATATACATTTTTTTAAAAACAAATTTCTTTTTTTTTTTTTGGTACATTTTTATATATACTAGGAGTTTTTTTTACACTTTATTCTTTTTTTTTTTTAATATCAAGATAAAAAAAATACCATTAATATATTCTGTAATAGTTGAGGAGACTTAATCTTATTTATTTATTTTTATTATTATTACTAATATTTTTCCCATCACGACACTGCATTCGCCTTCATATTTTTCATTTTGACAAAATTTAGACGACTGCGTATATGTGCTATTGCTTCGAGGAATCTCTTTCCCCACCACACAAACAATGCACGCCCGCCACCCCTTTTCCTCTGAAACTTCCTTGTCCGCCCCACCTTTCCCAACTCTATAAAACCAAACCCAAACCAAACCCTAATATCCATACAATCCAACCTCTCTATCTCCACCACCACCAAAGAACCAAGATCTTCTTCTCCAGATTACGTTTTGAATTTATATGGCTTCCCAATATCTATAACTATGTCTTTATCTTCCTCTTTTCTCTGAAAGCAACTGCTCACATTTGATTCCTCCTCCCCATATAAAACCCCTTTTAACATTTGTGGGTTCTTTTCGTTTTTCAAAACTAATTATGTGTTGAGATTTGTTTTTAATCAGAGCCTTGAACCGCTTATCCAAATCCAGATATTGTTTGGCTTCATTTTTTTTTATTGATTCGTTTCTTTTTTCTGTGGTCATGGCTATTCCTTACCCTCGTTTTATTGGGTCTGACAAATCAACGGTGAAGGCGGATCTAATGGTGCCCAAACCGTCACCATCTCGCCCACCGGTCATTTTAACCCAGGACGAGCTCAAGAAAATCGCGGCTTACAAAGCCGTCGAGTTCGTCGAGTCCGGTATGGTCTTAGGATTAGGAACGGGGTCGACGGCGAAGTACGCCGTCGATCGAATCGGCGAGCTTTTGCGTCAAGGAAAGCTCAAGAACATAATCGGCATACCCACATCGAGAATGACCCATGAACAGGCAGTGTCGTTGGGGATTCCGTTGTCTGACCTCGATTCGCATCCGGTCGTGGATCTGGCGATCGACGGCGCAGATGAAGTCGACCCGTGTTTGAATTTGGTGAAGGGGCGAGGTGGGTCTCTGTTGAGAGAGAAGATGGTGGAGGGTGCTTGCAAGAAATTTGTGGTGATTGTCGATGAGTCGAAGATGGTGAAGCATTTGGGGGGTAGTGGGTTGGCTATGCCGGTTGAGATTGTGCCCTTCTGTTGGAAATTCACTGCACAGAGGCTTCAGTTGTTGTTTCAGGACGCGGGTTGTGTTGCAAAGCTTAGAACTTGTAGCGAAAATGGCGACCCTTCTGTGACTGATAATGGGAATTACGTTATTGATTTGTATTTCAAGAAAGATATTGGATATTTGAAGGCTGCAAGCGATGCCATTTTGCGACTTGCAGGTGTTGTGGAGCACGGGATGTTTCTTGACATGGCCACCACAGTTATTATTGCTGGCGAGCTCGGTGTCACCGTGAAAAATAAGTAGGTAATGGGAAGCTGGAGGTAGATTTACTGATTGGTGTTTGAATGAGAATCTAACAAATTAGTTCTGTTGAATTGGGGAGGTTATTATTGATTATTATTGTAATAGGGGAAGATTTTAGGTGTCTTGGCATCAGTTAATATCATTTTTGGGGAATTTCTCCTTGAAATTTTGTTCTTGTTTTCAAAAGATTTAATGAGAATGAGTAGAAAATTTCTGAATCTTGTTTGCAGAGCTGAATTATGAATGTTGTTTCACTTGCTTCCAAATTTTTTAGAATGTGTTCTATTTATTTGTGGCTCCTTGAATCTCAATTTTTATTTGTGTGCGTAAGCGAGGACGTGATGATTGCTGGTTCTATCATTTGTATCTTTCCTTATATGTTGATTTTATTTGTAATGCAAAATTTTTACTGATTTTAAGCATTGCTACATTTTATTCATGCTTGTTCAGCTAACAGAATTATTTGAGCAAACACCAATAAACCGATTTCTTGACCTTTGAGTCCTCATAGAGCACTTTGAAGGATCAAAAAGAATTTTAAACTGCGGGTAGTATCCCTTATCATATGATAATTGCTCATTTATTTCATCTCCCATCTTTGGAAGAGCTGCAGGAAGCTTATGATTATATGATGCAGGTATCGCTTGGGAAGAGAGGTGGCAAAATTGGGTGAACAGACTGTGATTTACAGTCCATTAAGTTTTCGTTCAAGGCTCAAGCCTTGTAGGGCAAATGAGATTAGGTGCGGGTTGAGTCATAATTGCAGTTCACGGGAAGCTAATGCATACTGACCTCCAAGTCTGCTTGTGCGCAGGTTGAATTATGTATATCTGGCTCATGGAGATGGGAGCTAGAAACTGAAGTTGTCCTGCTTCTGTTTGTTGATTTGCTCAAGTAAGATGCTTTTTACATTCTAGTTTGTAATCTACGCATCTAGCATACACGGGAAACTTGCATCAAAAGACAGACACAAAAGTCCGTGATAATTGATTTTTAAGCAGCACATTGACATTGTCTGATTAACAAACTTGTGCATGCAAAAATTGATCTAGTGTTTGGTCATTGACCATTTCATTCATGCATCTCCATGTTTTTCTGCGTAATTTATTACTTGCCCCATGCAAGTAATAGATGGTCAATTCAATTAATTATTATTACATTTTTATTTCTTCTGAGTTATGCTATTATTTTTACCTACCAATAAAAGATATTCTCCCTCCTTTCAATCAACATCAACTCGAGGATAATCTCATTTTTGTTTGGGAGAATTATTCAGACCTGGACATGAGACTGATTTTGAGTTACTCTTTAGGTGGTATGTGAATTTCCTTCTTTGGAAGCATGCTACTGCTCAAACAGGCACTTCCACAGCTTGCTCTATATCTTTCGTTTTCTTTTTATTGTTGTAGTTAAATTTTGATTGCCTAATCTGATATTTCCGTTGTTTCAATTGTTTGCGATAGTGTTTACATCTTACTAGCTTGTATATAATTTAACCATCAATTAGTAAGTTTCTAGGATTCTTTACTCAATTTAATATAATTATTCTTTGCCTCTGGACCTTGTTCCTTGATGATTTCTGTTCTGTGGTTAGTTGTACTTGGTTTGTTTGAATCATTGAAGAAATAAAAATGAAAAGGCACTCATTAACCGTGTAATTAAATCCAAACTAAATTATACCAGGTCATTTATGTTTGTGATGTTTCTTGACTTACAAAATTTCATGCGCTGCAAACTATTACATATAATTTGGACTGTGAAAGAATGCATTGTAATTCAATCCAAACTGAATTATACCAGGTCATTTATGTTTGTGTTGTTTCTCGACTCACTAAATTTCATGCACTATAACCTATTACACATAATATGGACTGTCGAAGAATGCATTTGTCATATATATATACTTAATTCTGTAAATTTGATTTGGAAAAAAATTGTATACACTTTTCAGAGATGAAAAAACCAGATATTTAGCTTGAGCGTTTTGTAGAAGTTGTTTTCTGAAAAAAATATTTGAAATTATTTATTGGCACTGCCTCTAAAAACTATTTTCATAAAAGGAAGGGCATATTACTTTTAATTTTTTGTATCAATATAGCGCCGCTTGGAGAAAAATAGAAGGGCACTTACAAGTTGAACATCCATTAATTTGAGAACCCGTGGTTGGCATACATCCTAGTTTTAATTAAATGGCTGGCGTGGCAAACCTTCAATTTAAAAGTTTGCAAGATTCGATCAGCAATTTCCGTTAACTTGCTCATCTGAGTCGTTCCAAGAAGAAAACAGCAAAACTGGATGTCAGAGACGTGTGATTGATGAAGGTGAAATAGTATTTCGTGTTTCTTTTCAACTTGAGCCACTGCCGAGTAAAATGTGAAGGGGCAAGGAGGTTTCCTGTTAAGGGAGAAGATGGTGGAGGGTGCTTGCAGAAATTTGTGGCGTGATTGTCAATGAGTCGAACATGGTGAAGCATTTGGGGGTAGTGGCTTAACTATGCCAATTACTTTCTCCACGAACCCAGTTTTGATCTTCCCCAAAAACTTCAGCGTCAGCTACTTGTTTAATCTTCAAAATGTCCTCGGGGATATTAACAACCTATAACAAATTAGCATAATCAGATTACCGAGTAAAATTGAAATTAGTATATAAACAAAGGATGAATTGTGTCAATTATGAACAGTTTTGGTCAGAATAATATATGGAACCATTACCACTCTTGTTATGATGTTATTCATCTTGACGAAAAACAATAAGCACAGTTGGAAGCGATTGTCCGATATAATAATTACAAAAATGGTAAAATTTGCTTCTTTGGTCAGGCACAGAAGGGCTAAAGTGAGGGAAAGTTGCAAATGTCCATGAGAACCCGAGGAAACAAATATAAGAACATTAACAAATTATTGAGTTCTATTTTTATATTGGCAAACGACCGATAAGGATATCACAGTGAGTAAGGCAAATGGCATGGGTAATATGTAAGGAAGATCCATAAAAGTATAAAGACATATCTAGTCCACTTCTCCTGTTTCCCTGTAATTTTGCAACTGACCCACGAACAACTAGGCAAATAAAGCATTTATGAGCTAACGGTAGCATCTTTTTTCTTTTTTTTCTTTGGAAGTTGAAAGTTGCATTAAAAAGAAATAGTTACAAAAATTACACTAGCCTTGCCTTGGTCAAAGGCCCAGCCCAAGAAGTTTGGACAGAGACCAACAAGTTAGCAACAAGTGATATGAACAGGGCCCAGCCCAACAGGAGAACCTAGAGAAAACCCTAGAGAAGCGCCCTAATCATCCGGTAAGTACAATGAGGCGACGAAGACGCCTTAGACAATTAGGTCCGGAGGCTTCGCCGGTGGCCTCACAAAAGATGGGAGATCCCAATGAAGAGCCAATTTCCTTGCAAAAGGTGAGTCCTTAACCTGTCTTGATAGAAGATTCTGCCGAATCAGTTCAGTAATATGCCTTAGGACCACCATCTGTGAGGATTTTTGGTTCCGAAAAGCTCTGTTGTTCCTTTCTTCCCAGATTTTATTGATTGCACTGGATAGAGTGAGTCTGTTCATTGCACATCTCAAGTTCCTGCCAGACCAGTTATGGGAAGCCCAAGCAACGAAATAATTCCAAGACGAAGGGGGGGCGTGAAATCTGGATTTGTGCTGCAAGTAGACCCAGATCGGCCTCGCGAAAGTGCATGCAAAAAATAAGTGGTCATGAGATTCATCGGAGAAGTTGCAGAGATGACACAACCTTAGGCCTGGGACATCTCTCATACTACTACGGTTCAGTGTTGAGAGGCGGTTCTGAACTGCCAACCACAATGAGAATTTACATCGTGGAACAGAGAGAGAGCTCCACACGAGATGATGCCAAATCGTGGAAGGGCGAGGAGCTTCAAGCCATCCAATAGTGTGACATAGTGTGAATGATCCAGTGGGTGATGGAATCCAACTAGAAGAGTCAGGTGATGAAGATGGAGGAGCAATGAGAGCAATTGCAGGGAATTGCTCAAGTATGGAAGCTGGGAAGGACCAATCACCATCCGAAATTAGAGAGGAAAGGCGCTGGTGAGGAAGAATCTGCGAATCCTGTAAAAATCCCTCTGCAACCCTCAAGGAAAGTGGTCCCCCATGCAACCAATTATCCTCCCAAAAGTAAGTATGCTCCCCATTACCAACCTTCTGCAAAATCATAGACCTAGCAACCCCTTTGAGCTGGAGGATCTTCTTCCAGTTACTGGAACAGTTCTGAGGAGTACCCAAAGTCCAGAAACATCTGTCCCGAACCAGCTGAACTCTCACCCACTTTGCTCCAGTGTGCTTAAACTCAGTGCCCGACCATAGGAAATTCCTTAACAGCTTGTTAACCTCTGCTAAGACTGCCTTAGGAAGCACAAACAAACTAGACCAGTAGTTCACCATGCTGAATAATACTGATTGAGTTAGCTGAATTCTACCTGTGTATGAGAGAAATGAGGAGGACCAATGAGTGATCCTGCGAGTTATCATCTCCACCAACCCTCTACAATCCTGAAACCTGAGCCTAGTGGAAACCAAAGGAACTCCCAGGTACCTAATAGGAAGTGTTCCACGCTCAAACCCCAGAATTACCTCTCTATGTTGTAAAAGCTCGTCACCCTCAAACCTGGAGTCTTAGGTCTACGATAACAAAAGTACAGAACTAAGAGGAGTCAATTTCTACAAACACTCCTTAGTTTACAATAACAAATAATTAGACTTACGGTAGCATTTATGAGCTAATGGTAGCATCTTCTCATTTGCCCGAATTTCACCAAGATAGTATTGCATATTAGACTTACGAAAACAGATTAAAAATTCAATGATATCGCATGGTAACATTCAGAAAACATTAAACAAATTAGCCAATCATAAAGATATACATGCGTGTGTAGTGTGTATCAATATGTAAGTACATATACACACACACACACGCACATATATATATATATATATAAATATACACGAAATTTCCATGACATGGAATAGTTGAAAACACTAACGAGGAGCTTGTAAGAGCTAGAAAAACATCCAGAAGCATGGGAAGAAGTGATAAAAACCGTAGATCAATGGAAGGAGAGAGAGTATTGACCTTGATAGAGGAAGAAGGAAGCACAGGAACCATAATGCTGCCCCTAACGTCCCTCTCCCTTTCCCTCCTTACAGAGGAATCAGCAGCCCTTGAAACTTCAGTGTCATGCACAACTTGATCCCCCCCTCCCCCCTCTCCATAGAGGGCACAGAAATGTCCCTTCCGTCCCTCTCCCTTTCACTCCCTATAGAGGAATCAGCAGCCCTTGAACTTCCGAGATTTCATCATTCGTACGAATTTCAGTGTCATGCACAACTTGATCCCCCCCTCCCCCCCTCTCCATAGAGGGCACAGAAATGTCCCTTCCGTCCCTCTCCCTTTCCCTCCCTACAGAGGAATCAGCAGCCCTTGAAACTTCCGAGATTTCATCATTCGTGTGAATTTCAGTGTCATGCACAACTTGATCCCCCCTCCCCCCCTCTCCATAGAGGGCACAGAAATGCTAGCAGGTACGATATCAAGCGCAACTTGATCAGGCATACTTCTCTCCCTCTCCCTCTCTCCACATATCAAGCATTCGATTACAGTAGTTCTGTAAATATTTCTTTCAGCTATAAATGCATTTGATTCAACCAAATAAATTGGCCCATGAGTTCTACAATAGATTACCTTAAGGTTGAAATTTTTTTCGTGAATGGTGGCCATCAAATTGAACAGTGCAAGCATAGGAAATACTTTGAAAGAGTTGGGAAGTATAATAAATTCGAATGACCTCGTTATTATGGCAATTTTCACACATACCATGGTAAACATATCAGACACGGTCAAACCTTGTCTACGATAAACCTTCGCTACTGCCGTTATTAGTAAGGTACAACAACTAGTTATCAGAAGAACCAGTCTCACCAATTTGACATGCTCATGAAAATATGCAACCACAAATAAACCCAGTAACTCGAAAGCACTCGCTAAGGATTCAAAAGCACTCGCTAAGGATGTGATAGTTATATCGCCATGTTTTCGATTAAAAGTGTGAAGACAAGACTCAGGCTGCTGAACGCATTTAAACCGAGTCTGATCAACAGTTTTTCTTGCTTCCATTAAACACAACAGTGTATCAGAGACACAGAGAGGGAAACAGAGAAAGTAAAAGGCTGAGACGATGGCTCAACCTCAATGACCCGCTTTAGCCGATCGAATTCCTGTATCGCCACCTACCTGCGCTGAGTCCGGCGAGATTTCACAAAACCTCAGGTGGTGGAGGTGTCATATGTATTTCTCTCTAAAATCATTTAATCATCAAGCAGGAACAATTGATGAAGAAAATTTCGGATCCTCAGATTGTACCATCCTTGAGTCAGGCCGCTACAGTGTATCGACTTATCTGAGGGCTAAAAACAATAAGGGTACGTTTGGATAAGTAGGAGAGAAAAGAAAAGAAAGGATAGTAATAGTTATGAGAGAAAAGAAAGGAAAACAATAATTTCTATTTATGTTTGGATAGATAGAAAAAAAAGTATAACATTCTTGTTTGGATATGATAGAGAGTAGAAAAGAAGAGAAATGATAACAATGAAATTACTATCATATCCTTTAAAATAGATGGGATATGAGTGGAATAAACACTAAGGGTACGTTTGGATAAGTAGGAGAGAAAAGAAAAGAAATGATAGTAATAGTTATGAGAGAAAAGAAAGGATAACAATAATTTATATTTATGTTTGGATAGATAGAAAAGAAAATATAGTATTCTTGTTTGGATATGATAGAGAGTAGAAAAGAAGAGAAATGATAACAATGAAATTACTATCATATCCTTTAAAATAGATGGGATATGAGTGGAATAATAATTTCTTCCTTTTAATTATTGAGGGTGGTTTCGGAATTATTAAAATACTACTTAAACAATATTCTTTCTCTCCCTATCTTCTTATTTTTGGAGAGATAGAAAATGAGAGATAGGGAGGGATAACTATCCCTCCCTATCTTTTCTTTTTTCTTATTTTAACTTACCCAAACACAATTTACACTATCCTTTCTTTTCTTTTCTCTCACTGTCTCTCCAAATCTCTCAATCCAAACATACCCTAAGGGTTAGGGTTTCATGGCGATTGGGGGTTTTCTACAATGTAGGTTTATTATGATGGGATACTTATTTAGACTGAACGCGGAAGGCAAGTTACTTGGCACTATATTGGTGCTTTTCCGAATTAAGCATAAATGTTCGATTGTAATTCCATTTTTTGAATTTTTCGCATAATAGGAGTTTTTTTTTTTTTTTTTTTTTTTTTTTTTTTTTTTTTTTTTTTTTTTTTTCAATTGGAAAAAGTTGGGTTGAATAAAAATTTGGAGTTTTGAGGAAGATTTAAGCGTTGCCAGAAAAAAATGAAGAAAATCTAAGCCTGGCCGGAACAAATGAAGAAAAATTTGTCGACGGACAACCGGCGATGAAAATAAGAATAAATTACACTTACCTCCCCCTAAATAGGGTAAATTACAAAAGTTTCTCTAAGTTTTGAAACATCTCACTAAGCTCCCTTTTAGTTAACACCTCTTTAACAAACTGACCCCTTTCATCATTCTTAGTAACATTCAACCCTGATGTGACCAAAATTTAAGCTTACAATGATGATTATGCCCTTAAAATATTTGTGAAGGCTTTTTCATCATTTCACTAACTTTAATTTTCTCTTACATGTTGTAAGTACCTACTTTTTGAGTCAAACTAAGAATGAAATCATGCATATTCGGGAATATCACTAAAATAATACGAGGAACACAGAAGAGTGGATTGAGGGAGAGAAAATCAGCCCAATCTAGGGATTAAAAATGATAGTAGAGAAGAACGACGCCTAGAGCTTTGACAGAGCTTGATTCTTCGCCCTTATCATTTCTTTCAGCCACCTCTTTATAGCCCTAGGTCATCAATCTTGTATCCATTAGGCCTATGGATAAAGTTAGTCAGGGCCCATATCCTTTTACCTGACTCTTTCGGACCTATTACCAGGTGTAAGTACCTTCCTTTTTTACTCTTTAGTGCCTATATTGCCAAAGGCAGGTGTGGGCTTCATTAAGTATGGTTTTGGTCTATTAGAGGTGGCTGTAAGGGTCTCTGTGCTTACTCTAGGCCGCCTTTCTTCTTTTCCCCAAATTGGGTCTGCCGTCGCGGAACTCGAAGTTGAATCTCCATCCTCTATTCTAAAATCCCTTCGACATTCCCAATGGCTTTGAAGAGTCCTACCACCACTCTTCATCGTTAGCTCCATCGATCGGTGGTTGGCCTAGTCGAGGTCCTAGGCCCATTGATCGTCAGTTTGTGGGCAGCTCATGGCTTGGTCAGATCAAGGTTCTAAGCCCATCGATCGCTAGTTTATGACTTGGTCGGATCAATGTTCTAGGCCCCTCGATCGATAGTTTGTGACTGGTCGGATCGAGGTTCTAGGCCATCGATCGACAGCTTGTGGCTATGGTCGGATCGAGGTTCTAGGCCCATGAATTGATAGTTTGTGGCTATGGTCGGACCGAGATTCTATGCCCCTCGATTGAAAGTTTGTGGATATGGTCGGATCAAGGTTTTAGGCCCATCGATCGACAGTTTGTGGCTATAGTCAGATCGAGGTTCTAGGCTATCGATCGACAATTTTTGAATCTAGGTTCTCGCTATGGGCTTATCGACTGGCTGCTAATGCTTTTGCTGAGCTAGCCAAAATCCATGTATATCGACCAAGTGTTTAAACATTTTTGTCTTGTTCTTGCTTTCTTCCAAAGTGGTGAGTATACTTTGACTATTTTGATGACGTGGCGTAACTTACATCCATACTAGGTTCTCGCTATGGTCTTATCGACTGGCTACTAATGCTTTTGCTGAGCTGGCCAGAGTCCATGTATATTGACCAAGTGTTAAAACACTTTTGTCTCGTTCTTACTTTCTTCTAAAGTGGTTAGCGTATTTTGACTATTTTGCTGATATGGCGTAACTTACATCCATATTTAGTCCCCTGCACATACTATTTTGGTATAAAATACATGCACGCACAAAGGCGAGTATTTTTGCATTGTTGTGAAGCGTAGCCTTTTCAACTTCTGATGGTTAAAGGCAATTAATAAAGGGATATGACCCTTCTTCTTCTTATTTCCTCTTTGAAACGGTCTGTATTCAGACGGTACAATGGAGAGATTTGAGAAGAGAGAAGATAGTTGAGAGGCTTGAGAAATATAGCTTGTGCAAAAGAGAGATCCGTGTGTTGCTCATTCGAGGGAGTGTGTGTAAGGGTGCTACTGTTGGTAATTTGGTGTAATGACAAAATGAAAATAATTGAGCAAGCCTCATGAAGCAGTTCCGGCAATGCCACCAGGCCCCTTTCTTTGGTCC